ACCGACGCGCAGAAGGAGGGGAGGATCCTACAGAGGCTGGAGCAGGTTCAGCGGGAGCGCGGGAATGACGTGTGTACCATGAGGTGCTTTGACTCGTTCGCCACGAGGGACGACGCGGGCGAGGAGTATTGGTGCCTCATCTTGGAGTGGATGGATGCGTCGCTCTACGATGTCGTGAGGGCCAACGGCAACCGCGGGCTGCACTTGTCCGTGGTCCGGGTGGTGTTGTCGCAGCTCCTGGAGCAGCTCTTCGTACTGCAAGAGCTCGAATGCACCCACACGGACATCAAGCACAAGAATTGTTGCCTCGCAGACACCCGTCACTTCATGCTTCCCGCTGGAAAGGATGGCGGTGGATCGATGATCCTGGAGAGACCCCTGGCCAAGCTCATCGACTACGGCAGCGCGGTCTTTGAGGGCGACGAGAAGACGCACCCCATCCACACGAAGCAGTTCCGCGCGCCAGAAGGAGTTTTTTTGTTTTTGTTGTTTTTTCTCCTACCCTCTTGGCCATAACGCCCCACCCACCCTCCCTCCATCCCCCCCCATGACGTAACGCTCCCCCCCTCAGTGCGTCACTGGCACTGCCGCAGTGCGTAGGCTTTGGGGGGGCGGGCGCTGCGTTATGCCCCCTCCCGTCCCCCCACCCTCCCCCCCGCAACGCCCGTCATGGCCGCGAATCAAAACTTGCGCTCGAGTCCTCCTGAACGCGGCCCAGGGCTGGGGCCCGCCGAGCGACGTGTGGACGCTGGGCGTCACCGCGGCCTTCCTGCTGTCGGGGCAGCTGCTATCTCACAGGGCTGCGCCCTTCGCCGCTTCGGCTCTCCCCTGGGCTTAAATCGGGCCTGTCCCTCTCCAGGGGGAATGTTCAAACCTAGTCCAAAAAATAGTCCGGGGACGATGCTTCGAGCATGTTTTGACCATTCTGGGGGCATTTTTGGGGTATCTTCTATTTTTCGCTCGAGATCCCTCTGTGGGAAGACAGGCCCGACTTGACCCCACAGGGCGGAGGGCCACCCCGGGTGGCTTCCCTTTGGGCCAACGTGGGAGCCCCTCCTCCTCCTCCTCCTCCTCCTCCTCCTCCTCCTCCTCCTCCTCCTCCTCCTCCTCCTCCTCCCTCCCGCTGGGCACCGCGGGGGCCTCTCCCGAGCTCCGCCGCTCCCTGCGGGCATAAGCGCGCCGCACTCCCTTCACGACGCGCGCGCCCCGCTTCGGGCCCCTGGGGCCCTCACGGATCGATCCGGCGGGAGAGCGGACGCAGCAAGGGTCCGTGACCATGGGCGCCCTCGGGGGCGCGAAGTTGTTCGCGCTTCGCAGTCCTCGCTCCTTTCGCCCCCTCCTCCTCGTCCTCCTCCTTCTCCCTTTGGGGGGGGGCGGCGCGAGGGCGCGGAGTTGTTCGCGCTTCGCGGAGCGCGAGGGCGCGAGGTTGGGAGCCCTAGGTGACTCCGGTCCTGATGTTTTACGAGGTCGATTTTTTTTCGCAACGTCGGAGTTCAGGGTTGCGCAGAATCGGGCGCATCGCGAGGAGTAGTGGCCAGAGCCCTGCCGACCCGGTCTTTCTACGGAGCTGTTCGAGCCAGATCGACCTGTGAGTGTCACAGGGCCCCGAGCCATGCGAAACAACGCACGGTGTGGAAACATGATCGAGCCACGAACCTGGAAAGAGATGTAGAATTGCGAGGCATGGAAACGTTGCAACACATTTAAATCTAGGCGATGGGCAATGGCAGTTCTGAAGATATCGATGATGATGATGATACTGTGCTAGGGGCTGTGCTGCGCTGGGCTGTGCCGTGCTGCGGTTGCACAACAAAGGTGCACAATTAAGGGCTGCATGCAAAAAATGCCACGGGACGCTGGACATGCCAGGGGACGTGGCAGTGGACGCGTCAGGGGCCGCCAGGGGTCGTGCCAATGAAGCGTCAGGGGACACGGCAGGGCACGTGCCAAGGGACGTGACATGGGATGCGTGTCAGTGGACGCGCCGCAGGCGTGCAAGTGGACGCGCAAGCCAGGGGACGTGCCAAGGGACACGCCAGGTGACGTGCCACGGAGGGGACGTGCCAGGGGGACGACCCACCTGGCAGTGGACTCGACAGGGGCGTGCCAATGGAAGCGCTAGGGGTCACGCAAGGGAGAGTGTCAAGGGACGTGCCATGGGATGAGGGGACGCGCCCCAGACGTGCCAGTGGACGCGCAAGCCAGGGAATGTGCCCAGGGACGTGCCGGTGGACGTACCATGGAATGTGTCAGGAGACGTGCCAGTTGGACGACCCACCCTGCTCTGCAACTCTTCTGCGACGGATCTGCGCTCCCAGGGCCGCGGTGCTGGTCTCTTCTAAAATGTGCGCGGGTCATGGACTCCCCCCGAAACCTCGGCCTACCTCAAGAATCTGTTTTTTTTTTTTTTTTTTTTTTTTATCAAAGCCTCTACCCCGCTGCTTGCGAAGGGAGCCCTGCAGTCAAAGCCTGAGATCCGAATCGGTTCCACTTCCTCTTGCTAATCGCACCGCGCTGCTAGAGCCAAGGTCCTTCGCAAATTGGCTGCGCCGGAGTTCCCAAGGCACCGATCCGTCATGGTTTCAGCTCACGGATGAACGGGGGAATCCACGTGTTTTGTGGGTCCCGATGCCTATGGGCGAAAGGCACCCAGGTACAAAACCACAGGGTTGCCGGCTCAAGGACCCCTTGTGTTTTGCGGGTCTCGAGGCCTACGGGCGAAAGGAGCTCCTGTAAAACACACAGTTTCAGCTCACGGGCGAAAAGAGCCCTTGCGTTTTGCAGGTCCATGTGCCTACGGGCGAATGGAGCCTATGTGAAAACAGATGGTCTCAGCCCACGGGCGAAAGGAACCCACGTGCTCTGTAGGTCCCGAGCCCACGAGCAAACATGGTGTCAGCTCGCGGGCAGGAGGCACCCAGAGGCCCCTATGCTGGGCAGTTGGCTTACCTCCTGGGTGGCCTTGACATGCTAAAACATGTGCCAGGTGCACGGACGCCAGGCGCATGTTAGATTCCCCCGCCGCGCACGTACTTTTTACGTGCGAAGTGGCCGACGACTACATGTCAGATACCCTGCTGGGTGGCCCGGACACGTGAAAGCAAGTGTTTCGCTCGAGACGTCGTCCATCTATTCTGCAGAGCAAGCCTTTTGTTCGAGGCGTGCCCAACAACCGAAAACGAAGCTCCCGCTCGAAACATCTTCACACTTGGCTCAGTGATGAGGCTCTCGCTCGAGACACCCTCAAAGACACCCTCAATCAATCATTTCGATTACCCTACCCGATTTTTTGTGTGAACACAGGACCCGCCGACCCACCTCCGTCGAGGCACCAGGGACAGCTGATCAACCTAAGGAGAACCCTCGGCCCAAGCCCTTCTTGGGATCTCGGCTTCGGGGTCTGAGGGGTCTGAGGGTCACCCATCCCACATAGGGGCCCTCCTGGGGAGCAGCAAGCCCTGCATCGTGGGCGAAGAGCACGTCCGCGTCCGCGGCCTCGCGGGCAGGGCCCCTGGGCCGCGACTCCGCGGCGACGGGGCGCTCCCCGGAGATCCGAAGTCGTGATTTTTTTCAGTGCGGGGCCCCCGGAAGTCCCGAGCCATTCCCCGGGACTGGTTCTCACCCTGAGTGGTTTTCTGACGGCCGTGGGGCCCAGCGAGGGCCCCGAGAGGCCGAAAATTGCGAGAAGCATCTGTTGTGATTTTCGCAATGCGTTAGATCTCTGGGATGTTCGCGGATGCCCCGCGCGGGGCATGCCCGGGCCACCGCGTGTCCGCGGGATCGCGCCCCTGGGCCCCCAGACCGCGAGGGCTCGGATGCGGACACGGTCGCCGCTCTTGACCGCAGGGGGGGCGCCCGCAGTGATGGGCCGATATTCCACCACCACTACCATAGGTAGGAGCGGGAGACAGATGAGGAGGAGGAGGCGGAGGCGGAGGAGGAGGAGGAGGAGGAGGAGGAGGAGGAGGGCCTCTCCATCCTCCCTTCCCCCCCACCCCGCCCTGCCTATGGCAGTGGTGGTGGTGGGAAATCGGCCTATCACGCGGCGCCACCCGCGCCCCCCGGGGGGAGGCCCCTGGCGGCTTCGACTCGCACGAGCCCGCCGCGCTCCTCGGCGCCATGGCCCAGGCGCTGGGCCCGTTCCCGGCCAGCTTGCTGGAGGCCGCTCGCGATCAGGTGATGGGCCAGTTTTCCACCACTACTGCCACAGGTAGGAGAAGGAGGAGAAGGAGGAGGAGGAGGAGGAGGAGGAGGAGGAGGAGGAGGAGGACCAGTGTAAGCCCAATAGTCATCAACGATGTTGGAATAAACCCTCCCTCCAGGGTCCCTCTTCATAGGCCCCCGCAATTGTTCATTTTCACTGAGGGAACTGCCTCGTTGGAATACAACTGTCTGAAGACCCTCAAGCATGCCAAAACATTCTTCTCGGAATTCCAACGCCACGGATCAATCTGACTGTTGCGTCTTGACGATCCTGAATCGTGCCAGAACGCGATTCCTGGGACTTCAACACCTCGAACCAACGTAACCGTTGCACCCTCATAATCCTGAGTCCTTCGAAAACACCAGTTCTTGTACACTGATCATGGGAATCCGTGAAACTCTTGCGACTGTCCAAAACGAATGTGCGCGACGTTAAGGCGAGAGCCACATTTTGAAAAGGACCGCCCTCAATCCGTGAAATCTTTGCACATGTTGAAAGCGAATGTATGCGGCTCTCAGGCGAGAGCCACTTTTTTGAAACCGGGTCGCCCTCAATCCGTGAGACTCTTGCAAACTTTGAAAACGAATGTGTGCGCGGCGCTAAGGTGAGAGCCACATTTTGAAAACGACCCGCCCTCCGTTTGTGAAACTGTTGCCAACTTTACAGCTTCAGGGTCATAAATGGTGAGGGAGTCTCAGGCGAAACACCTGGCCCGCCCTAAAAAGAGGCCTCGGGGTGCGACAGGGAGAAGCTATTCACAAGGAAAAGGACTGGAGGAGGAGGAGGAGGAGGAGGAAGAGGAGGAGGAGGAGGAGGAGGACGAGGAGGAGGAGGACCTCTCCATCCTCCCTTCCACCCCCGTTCTACATATGGTAGTGGTGGTAGCAAATTGGCCCATCATCAGGGGGCGCGCCGGGCCGCGGAAGCCGCCGGCGCGTGGGCGGGTCGGCCCCAGTCGGGGGCCACGAGGGGGGGGGACTCGGAGGAGGAAAAGGTACCCATACCTCTGCCCTTCACCTTTTTCCCCTTTTCGGGCCTGCTGGGAGGCTCTCGCCGTCACCTCTGGATCCGCTTCGAAACTCTGGTCAGAAAGCACCCCTCAGGGTCTGCTGGGCGGGGCGGCCCCAGTCGGGGGCCACGAGGGGGGGGGGCTCGGGGCTCGGAGCCCTCGCTCGCGGCTCTTCGAGGGCGGGGCGGCCCCAGTCAGGGGCCACGAGGGGGGGGAGGCTCGGGGCTCGGAGTCCTCGCTCGCGGCTCTTCGAGGGCGGGGCGGCCCCAGTCAGGGGCCACGAGGGTGGGGCTCCGGGCTCGGAGTTCTCGCGGCTCCTCGAGTGTCGGGTTCCAGGTTTGCGGGGCCAGGGGCCACGAAGTGGGGAGGCTGCGGGCTCGGAGTTCTCGCGGCTCTCCGAGGGTCCGCCTACTACTACTACTACTACTACTACTACTACTACTACTACTACTACTACTACTACTACTACTACTACTACTACTACTACTACTACTACTACTACTACTACTACTACTACTACTACTACTACTACTACTACTACTACTACTACTACTACTACTACTACTACTACTACTACTACTACTACTACTACTACTACTACTACTACTACTACTACTACTACTACTACTACTACTACTAC